CTCCTGCCTCAGCCTCCCGAGTATCTGTGTCACTTTTTATGACCTCCATCCTCACCTGACATATTTCACATTTATCTGTGTGTGCCAGCCTGACTCCACCAGCATCTTGCTCCACCAGCAGAATCTCCATGGGGTCAGGAACCGCATCTGTTCTATTCCCAGCGCCATCCCTAGGGTCTTTGTCGGCATCTGCCACACAGAAGGTTCTTCATAATTTGCACAATAAATAGATGGAAGAGGATGGAGGAAGAGAAAAAGAGGAGTAAGAAGTGCAGGAGGAGAAGGGGGAAGACAAGGAGGAGGAGGAGAAAGAGGAGGAGGAGGAAGAACGACCATCACCATTGTCATCCAGCAGCCGTCTAAACCAGACACGGATGCTGCAAAGAGCCGCACTCTGGGAGACCACAGGACAGGCTTTTAGGAGGTGGCTGTCAAGCCTGGCTGAAGGCTGGACCCTCCTGGAGTGCCTGTGAAAACTACCAAGGAGACAATACACATTTGAGATGATGGATTTGCTAATTATCCTGATTTGCATAATATATACATGATTCAAGACATCACACTGTATCCCATAAAGCTGTACAATTATTAATACTATGTGTCAATAAAAAAAATAAAAATAAGGCCAGGCACGGTGGCTCACGCCTGTAATCCCAGCACTTTGGGAGGCCAAGGTGGGCGGATCACAAGGTCAACAGATTGAGAACCATCCTGGCCGACATGGTGAAACCCCACCTCTACTAAAAACACAAAACTTAGCCGGGTGTGGTGGCACGTGCCTGTGGTCTCAGCTACTCAGGAGGCTGAGGCAGGAGAATCGCTTGAACCCAGGAGGTGGAGGTTGCAGTGAGCCCAGATCACACCACTGCAATCCAGCCTGGCGACAGAGCGAGACTCCATTTCAAAAATTAGTTAATTAATTAATTAATTAAAAATACCAGTGTCAGGCTCCACCCGACCAGCTGCACCTGAAGCTCTGCGGTAGGGCCTGCACATCTGCCAGTGTCTCTGCCAGGCTCCCAGGGATCCTGATTGTCAGCAAGAGATCCAGACCCTGACCCAGGAAGGGCAGGAACAGGCTAGGGGAGAAAGGGCAGAGCTCAGGCTCACAGGGGCCAGCTGGTCTCCCTCCTCCCCAGCGCCGCCTCTGGACACACTCCCCCTCTCCAACAGGCTTGCAGCCTCCACTGCCCAGACTGTCCATTAGAGAGGTAAGTGACTTGTTAGGGACCAACCTCCCCCCCCCGTCAGCATCCCCAGGACCACCCTTTGTAAAGGTCCTATAGGAGAAAGGAAGAGGGTCCTCCCAGATGGCCTGCCCAAGGCACCTCTTCTGGCATCCCAAGTAGAGGCAGCCTTCGCCCAGCCGGCCGGTGCCCTCCCAGTGGTTCCGCCCGGAGAGAAGGAGGAATGAGGGTTGTTCACTGTTTCTTGTCAGTTCTGTTAAAGTAAAGACATCCTCCTGAGGGAAAAAGCAGTAAGAAAGGAAGGACCTGAGAGGCCCAGGACATAGCTGGAGAAAAAGAGAACGGTGTGGACCAGAGCAGGCCAAGAGGGCTTCCTGACAGAGGCGGCACTTTAGCTGTGATGAGGAAGCAGGGCAGAGCGGTTTGGGGATGGTTGGGGGCAGAGCGTGGGGACGGGCTTGGGGGACAGAGCGGTTGGGGATGGGTTGGGGGGCAGAGCGGTTGGGGAAGGGTTGGGGGGCAGAGCGGTTGGGGAAGGGTTGGGGGGCAGAGCGGTTGGGGAAGGGTTGGGGGGCAGAGAGGGCAGTCCAGGGCACCGCCTTGCCTGTACTGCATTCTTCAGTTGAAGCCTGGCTGTGTTCCCTGCAAGCTCTCCTGTTACTTCCCTCCTGTGGGTGAATGAGAACAGAGGAGAGGGCCTTGGGGAACAGCAGCCCAGCCTCCTCACTGCCCGCCTGTGTGCACTCCTTGGTCTGGGGAGGGGAAGGTGCTTCTCCCTCCTCCCACTGCTACCCCAGATGCCAGGCCCTGGGCCGGCCCCAGTCAACAAGAGCTGGGACCTTGCAACCTTGCAGGAAGCTTTCCCCAGCCCTGCCCTTCTAAAGAGCAGGTGGCTTCAGCCTAGAGCAGCAACAGCCGTCTCGTGACCATGAGACAGCATGCCTGAGATCAGAGGTCACGTGCAGAAGGCAAAAGGAAGGGACAAGATGGGAGGAGAGAGGAGGGGAGCGGAGGAGAGGGGAAGGGAGGGAATGGGAAGGGAGAGGAGGGGAGAGGAGGAGAGGGGAAGGGAGGGAATGGGAAGGGAGAGGAGGGGAGCGGAGGAGAGGGGAAGGGAGGGAATGGGAAGGGAGAGGAGGGGAGCGGAGGAGAGGGGAAGGGAGGGAATGGGAAGGGAGAGGAGGGGAGAGGAGGAGAGGGGAAGGGAGGGAATGGGAAGGGAGAGGAGGGGAGAGGAGGAGAGGGGAAGGGAAGGGAGGGGAGAGGAGGGGGTGGCCCTCCCCTCACCAGGTGCTCCTTGTTGGAGATGAATGGCCCACCTGCCCCCGGCAGTGATCCACTTTTTGCCCAACATAATTTGGTCGAGTTGGTTTGATGTTTAAAATACAATTAAATTTAAAAGTTGTTTTTTTAAATAAAAAAGCTTTAACTTGAACCCCTCAAGTATATGACTGGCCCCAAAACTCCTGGGCAGCAAAGCGAGGGAGGATAGGCGATGCCACGGGTTTTCCTGCTAGTTGGAATCCTCATGGCAGGTGACGAAACCTGCTTTTTCAACAGGCCCAGCTCAGAGACTCTCATTCTGAGGACTGGTGCTGAAGCCCCTCTCTCAAAGGCCACCTGGAACTTTAACTGTGGGGCCCACACCTATTCTCGGCTCCCATCTTCTGGGGCAGGCACTTTTTCTAAAACAAGCACACTTCTTTTTAAAGATATCAGCGTGCCCGACCAAAACTACTAACACAGCCTCTCGGGATGGTGCCGTATCAGGTCAGCCAGTAAGAAGCAGGCAGAAGTCCTGGGGGCAGGCAGACTTCCTCAATGGAACAGCAACAGTGCAACAAGAGCAAAACCTTCCGAGGAGAAGCCCTTTACCCCTTCTGCCTGCCCGCTCTTCCTTCCTGGAATGAAGAGGCAAAAGCTGGAGCAGCGGCAGCCATCTGGTGACCATGAGACAGCATGCCTGAGATCAGAGGCCACGTGCAGAGGGCAAACAGCAAAGCAAGGGGATCACCTGCCCCCTCTCTCATAGTTGAGCATCCCATCCAGCCAAGGATTGCCTGCCATCAGATTTCTTAATGTCTGAGATGGGTAAGACCGTTGCCAGGCCAACCACTCTTCGGGGCTTTCCCGAAACGTGGAGTCTGACACGGGCGTTGCTAGCATGCTTCTCTGGCCTTGCTGCCTCACTGGAGAGCCTCAGGGCCCCTTCCCTCCATGACGCTCTTTCCTCCCAGCATCCTGACTGCCTCCTCATTCTCTCCCAGTCTCTCCTTTCCCTGATTTGCTCTTTACATGACTGATTTTTCAAACGTGTCATGAGCATTCCTCTTTTAGAACCTTCGAATATGCTGCCTGGACTTCCCTTCCCCTTTTTTGCCTCAGGTATTTTTGGAGAAGCCTGCAAGAGGTTGCCTATTAGGTCAGACCCTGTCTGCATGCCACCTGGAATGCACCTCTCCCTCTCTTCTGTGGCCTCACTGTGCTCAGAACTGCTGCTTAACGGAGCTTCCTGAGGGCTTGGAGGCTCCTTAGCCTGGGAACAACGTCTTTGTGTTCCCTGATACATCCCAGCATTAAGTACAATTTCCAGCACATAGTAGGTGCCCAAGAAATCACCGTTGAGTAAATCAACAACTATATCATTACATGCACTCTGAAGAAAGACACATCACACAATGAGAGCTCGTTACACAAGCAGATCCACACCTGGTGAGTCTGAAAGGGATCCAGTCTGAGTGACAGGTGAACACTGACAAGATAGCAAGAAAGGCTACCAGGCCAGGAGGACGGAGCAGCACATCCCAAGACCCTGTGAAGAGGGAAGAGCAGTGCATGAGTAGAGGGTGGTTTTGATGAGGTGAGCAGGGCCAGGCCACACAGGCCTTGGGGACCTGGCCAGCTGGCTCTTTGTTCTGGAGACTGTGGAGAGAAACCTACAGTTTCTGTTTCCAAAGCCCTTTTGTCTTCAGTGAAGGAAATGCTGGAGGAGGGCATATGCATGGTGAACCCCCCAGTGTCCATCACAGGAGCCCAAGACAGAGTGGGTGGACACTCACCTCTGCAGTCTGCTCTGTTCTGAGAGTTTTATAGGTGGTAGGTCATTCAATTCCCAAAAATCTTGCAATAAGGAAACTGAGGCACGGGCGGCCAGGGACCTGTCCAGGTCATAGGGCTGGTACATGCTGGGGCCTGGAATGAACCACACCTCAGTGTGACCAGGCCGGGCTGGCAGTGTGGGAGAGAGAAGCGGCAGACCAGAGAAGGGCAGACCAGAGAAGCTCTCAGAGGGAAATGGTTTAGACGGACCGAGGGAGGGAGTGGGGCATTGCAAAGGAAATCCAAAGCAAGTAACGAACAATGCTAAGACTTGCTAAAACTGGGTGACACATCCACCCGCATTTTCTATGCTGGAAACAATGTGAGAGTTCACGCGTGCACACCACTGCACCACATTGGTGCTGCCTGTGGGATTCAGTGACCTGGAGATCATCAGGGTCTTGGTGACAGCTGTTTCCATGTCTTGAGGGGACCAGACGCCAGAGAGCAGGCTGAGGAACGCCTGAGATTTGAGAACATGGAGACAAGATGTCTAGACTGCGGTTTGGAGAAATTTGACTATAAAATAGGAGAGAGAGGGTCAGTAGCCAGTGATGTGTCCATAGTGGAGGACAGGTTTTCTTCTCATTGCAGGAATCAGACATTACAGAGATCATCCAAGTCTCCGGCCTGCCTCTCCTCCATCCCACTCCCCTTCTTCTCTCCCCAAAGGCAACTGCTCTCAGGAACTCACTGTCACTGTCGCGCATGTTTTGTATTTTTACTGCATATTGATTTGTCCAGAAACGTTTTAAGGTCTCATTTTATTGGTTTTTAACATTTCTATAAATGATGTGATACCGTTCATATTGTCCCAGGACGTGCTCCTTTTCTTCACATTACAGTTTACAAGCTCTGTCAAGGCGGATAAATGGGAATCTCCAGAGCACTCTATGTCACTGGTATCCTCTCCATCCAGTCCTGATCTACTGCTGATGGGCAGCGTTCTGCTCGTGCAGTCGTGGTGCAGACCACACTCCTGGGTCGGCCACCCCATGCCTGTGCGCTGGCTTTCTCCAGGGCAGAGGCTGCAGGTGAGCTGATTGGGCCATGAGCACCTTCGCCTTTATGGAGACTCACCAGACATCATACCAGTGTACACTCTTGCAGCACTGCAGGCAAATTCCTCTGCCCTTGCCCCTTCTGCACTGGGTGTTGCTAGATTTCCAATGGGGAGATGTGGGACTGTACAATCACCCACAGAAAGGTTTCTGTTGAGAGAGAAATTAAATACAGAGGATCTAGAAGTGCATGCTGGGGTAGGGGATGGGGAGATGGCAGCCAGAGAAGGACTCCCTGGCAGACATATGCCCCCATGTACAGAACTCTCTACCAGTCAATTCGAGGAGCCAGTTGGGACCTTCCTCTTTGCGCTTGCTGAGATGATGGATCCCAGACTTGCCCGTAGCGCACGGCGGCCTCGCTGCCCGCTCCCCAGCTGACCCCTCCTGCTCCCACTGCACAGTGCCCACACACCCAGCAAGGCGCTTACACAGAGAATGATTGCCAGGTGTTTATTGAACTGTTTTCCCCCACAAGACTCTGAGCTGCTTGAAACAGGGGCTGCGTTATTATCTCCTCAACCTCCAGAAATTTGCAAGGGCCTAGCACACAGTTGGCGCTCAATGAATACTTTCTGAATTGCTTTAAAGCTACTATTGCAGAGCCCATTGGCGTGGATCTCCTAAATAGGGTGCTCTGATTGCAGACACATGCACAATTTAAAGAAAGGAGCCAAGTGGGAGCCAGGAAGAAGCAACTTCAATCAGGAGTGTGGACGGCAGACAAGGAGTCCCACCCAAGAGGCTTTCTCCTTCCACCCTCTCTTCCCCACCCTCTCTAGCCCCCAGCTACCTCAGAACCCTGACTTCCTTCCCTGGTTGTAAAATAAATTAATACGCTTTAGCCTTTCCTATAAAAAACTGATCTCCATCCTCTCACTGTCTCTAGAAAATTCTTATATTAATTTATACTACTTCCAGTTTTGTTCTCTCTTACTCAGAAATGAGGAAAAATCCTGAGACCAGAAAGAGGGAAAAAGAAAATTCCAAGCCAGGAAAGCACAAAACAAGTTCAAATGTCTAAACCTCATGGGCGGGTATTGGGGGAGTGACATTCACAGCACGCATTCAGGAAGTCAGAGCTGAAATCTGGGGCTAATGACATAACACTGATAACACTGATGGGTGCAATGAAGAAAATGAATTCCCCAATTTCTATTTTACTTTCATCATTCAAGGAAAATGGTTTGCAGGAGTGAAGGAGTGGAAAGAAAGCCTAAAGCTAGTCTGGAGACCTTGAAGCGCTGTGATATGCTCTGAGCAGCCAGGTTGAAATGGACGCCTCATGAAGTTGGCCTTGGGGGTTTCTGGTGAGCTCCACCAGGCGCCGTCTTTGACCCTTTACCTCATCCTATTGGCTTTTGAATCATCAACAAGTTGTACAAAGTTATGCAGAGCCTGCTTTCAAGAAATACGTGGAGATGAAGTTGGACGTGATTTGGGGCTAGACTTTGTGTTCCGTAAGGTCTAAGGGAAGAGGGTGGCAGCTGTGGATAAGGAAAGGGGAGTTCTAACACTCAAAGCTGGCGGTCTGGGGGATGGATGAACTCAAAGGACTAAAAGTCAGCTGGGATCCATGAAGACAACTCAGAAGAATCTTAGTGGCAGCTCCTCTGTGACAGTCCCTCCACCATTTTGGAAGTGGAGGCAAACCGGGGAAACACCAGGAAAGCTAATATTATTGATAGGAAAACCTCAGGCGAATAAAATGGCAGGAATGTAAACCAAAAATGCTGGTTGTGTCCATGAGCCTGGGAGGCCAGCAAGAAGCTGGGGACAGGGGCAGCCTCCGTCAGACAGGGAACCCTCAAAGTGGGCAAGTGAGCAACCTAAAGAACCTGAGCCGCCCCCTCCAGGCTCCTCCAAATCTGACCTTTGCTACAGGATAGATGAGTCAGCAAAGCTCAACAGCTCCACGGATGTAAAGACGGTGTAGGAAGCATATGGTGGAGGGAAGAATCAGCACCACAAAATGACTCTGTCACGCTGGAGAGAAAGGCCAAATCCAGCTAGGATCACACTCAATAAAAACGAGCATCATCTGTGGTCCTTGGGGCTAAAACCCAACTGCATTAAGAACGTACAGTTTAGCAGCAACATGTTTGACACTTACGGGTTTTATTTGAAGAGTCAGCAGAAATACTGACTCCCGAAAGGTTAGCACAAACTTGGACTGGCTTCCGGAAGGTTAGCATCTGGCACAGTGCAGGTGCAGTCTTGGCAGACACAACACTGATTGTCCTTACCTGGAGCGCTGGACTCAGTCCATGGACTTGCACCCGTAGAGCGGCTTGAGCAGAGGAGACCTAGTGGGATGTGACTGTGGGCCAGGACATCCTGCCGCATGAAGAAAAGTCCACAAATGGATTTCACCTGCAGACGAGAAGATGCCCTCTCACGCAGAGGGTAGGTAAGAGCTATCCTCATATAAATAAAGGAAGCCGTGGCCATGAGGATTCAGATGAGCAAGTCCTGTTACAAGAACTAATATTGGGACCACACAGCAGGAGCCAGAGAAGACAGCCTTCAGCCCAAAGACAGAAATCCCAGTACCCCCAAGAGCTACGCGAAAGGGCTGTCTCAGTAGACAGTACACTCTCCAGCTAAGGACAAACTCAGTAGACAGTACACTCTCCAGCTAAGGACAAACAGCTAAGGAGACGCTGCAGAGGTCATCAGATGCAGACTTTCAACTGTAGTGACAGACTTCAGTTCTCTGAAAAATTATCTCTGACTCTATGAGGATGATGTCCATTCTCTGATAATGACAGACAAATGAGGTCTTGTGGTTTGTAATGACTGGTTGACACAAATCATTTAAAAGAAATCTCATTGGTAAAACATCCTTAATTCACTTCCTCAGGTGACAGAAAGCAGAGGAGCATTAAAATGTGCTCTTTCATGGCAGGCACTATGGCTATCCATATTTTTTTATCCTTAATTTAATCTTAAATAACAACCTTTTGAGATAAGTATTTCTGTTTACCTTTAATAGATCAGAAAACTGTCTCATAGAGGCTACATAATTTGGATGAGATTGGCCAGGCCATAAATGACCAAAGACTTACAATGGGCTTTATGGAAATTAAATCTTCTGATTCAGATATTAAAAAACTGGAAGGAGCATTGCTCTCATCTTACAACCAAAAAAATTTGGATAATTTGCAAAAATCACAGCATTTCTTGAGTAAATCAGAGAGCTGAGACTGCAGGATAAATAACCCAAAATCTAAGGAAAATGGGCACCTCCAAGGAAAGGAGCAGCCACAGACAATGGACGCTGTAAAAGAAGAGTTTATTTACAAATTTTAATGAATTTCTAAAGATTGAGTGTTCACTAATGTGAGAACCCTACCCTAAAAACAGGATAACAGAGAAGAATTTGAAACTCATATTGCACTGAGCATGAACACAACAATAACAAAACCTAACCACAGTTTAACTTATGACCAGATTTACTCAAATTATTACACTAAAGTCTTAGCCAAAAACAAAACAGAGGAATATCCATTTCCAAGCATTAACACCAGTTACATAAGTCTCTGTTGTTCTGTTAAAGATATTTGGCTGTCACACAAAAATGTAAGACACACAAAGAACAGAAGAAAAAACAGTATCAACAAGACCAGATTTTGATGTGACACAAATGTTGAAGCTATTACATGAAATATTTCAAATAAATATAATTAACATGTTAAAATCTCAAGTGGAAAAGTTAGATGGTATGCATGATCTGATGGAGAGCTTCAAGAGAGATATGAAAACTACAGGAAATAATCAAATGAGAACGTGAAAAATGAAAAGCATGATAACAAAGTTGAAAGAGGCTTTACTGGATTCAGTAACAGAATCAATACAGCTGAGAAAAGAATCAGTAACTTGAAGATAAGTCACTCTGAATTATGCAAACTAAAACATACATACAAAAAAGTAGTGGTAATAAAAACAGAGTATTCAAAAGCTGTTGGATAATATCTAACAGTCCAGCATATGTATATTTGGAAGGAGAAGAAGAGAGAAAAATCAGGCAGCAAAAATATTTGAAAAGATAATGGGCAAAGTTAATAACAGCCACCAAGCCACAGACCCAAATTCTTCAAAAGCACCAAACAGAATAAATGCGTTAAACCGTCTCCCCAAATCCATGCATATCATCTTTAAAATGTTGAAAGTCAATTATAAAAAGAAAACGTTAAAGGCAGCCACAGAGGGAGAAAGCATATTACAAACAGAGGAACAAAGACAGGAATTGCATAAGACTTTTAGTTAAAAAAATGTACAGGTCAGAAGACAATAAAGTGGGAGATTTTGGCTGGGCACAGTGGCTCACACCTGTAATCCCAATACTTTGGGAGCCCCAAGGCAGGCAGATCACCTGAGGTCAGGGGTTCGGGACCAGCCTGTCCAACATAGTAAAACCGTGTCTCTACTAAAAGTACAAAAATTAGCTGAGCGTGATAGCACATGCCTGTAATCTCAGCTACTCAGGAGGCTGAGGCAGGAGAATCGCTTGAACCCAGGAGGTAGAGGTTGCAGTGAGTCAAGACCGGGCCACTGCATTCCAGCCTGGGCGACAGAGCGAGACTTCGTCTCAAAAAAAAGAGAAAAAAAAAAAAACAAGATGTTTTATATGATACACCTGTGTAGAGAAGTGACCATGAATGGAGCTTGCAGGACTGGAAGTTGCTCTGGGTGAGTCAGTGAGTGGTGAGTGAATGTGAAGGCCCAAGACATTACTCTACACTGCTCTAGGCTTTACAAACACTGTACACGTAGGCTACACTACATTTATTTTAAAATATTTTCCTTTCCTTAATAATAAGTTAACCTCAGCGCACTCTTTTTTACTTTATAAACCTTTTTTTAACTCTGTGACTCTTTTGTAATCATACTTAGCTTAAAATACAAACACATGATACCGCTGTACAAAAATAGTTTATTTCTTTAGATTCTTAATCTTATCTATGTCTTTTCTATTTTTACGTATTTATTTCTTTTACTTTTTAAACTTTTTGTTAAAAACCTACACGGGGTCAGGATCATCAGTATCACTGCCTTCCGCCTCCATATCCTGTCCAACTGCGAAACTTCAGGGGTAATGGCATGCATGGAGATGTCATCTCCTAGGATAACAGTGCCTTCTTCTGGATACCTCCTGGAGGACCTGCCTGAGGCTGTTTTACAGTTAACTTTTTTTTAATAAATAGAAAAAAATGACCTCTAAAGTAAGGATAAAATGCACAGTAGAGTAAATGCATAAGCCAGTAACATAGTCATTTAGTATCATTACCGAGTTATTATGCACTATACATAATTCTATGTGCTATACTTTTATAAGACTGGCAGTACAGTAGATTTGTTTACATCAGTGTCACCACAAACACATGAATAATGCTCTGACATGATGATGGCTACATCACTAGACACCAGGAACTTTGCAGCTCCATTATAATCTTACAGGACCACCATTGTATATGTGGTCCACCATTGATCAAAACATCATTTTGCAACTCATGACTGTATATTTCTATATTCCAGCAATGAACTCTTGGTTAACAAAATTTTAAAATATAATAGTGCTTTAAATCACCCAAGAATGAAATATTTAGGTGCAAATCTAACAAAACAAGTACATGTGTTGTATGTGAAAAAATACAAAATGTTGATAAAAGAAATGAAAGAAGATCAACCTAAATGGAGAAATGTATCATTTTCATATGCTGGACATGTCAGTATAGTAAAGCTGTCAATTCTCCTAAAACTGACATAAAGTTAAAATACAATTTCTGTCAAAACCCCAGCAATATGCCTACATATTTTTATAGACAAATGTTTATGAAAATGCAAAGGAGTATGAAGCATTAAACAGTTTTGAAAAAGAAGAATGAAGCAAAAGGAATCAATCTATCTGATTTCAAAACTTATTATATAACCCCAGTAATCAAGACTATGCGGTATTGGTGGAGGAACAGTCACACAGATCGGTGAAGAGAGAACCCAAAAATAGACCCATGCAAATATATCCAACTGATTTGTCACAAAGGTGAAAACGCAATTCAATCAAGGAAACCTTTTCAGTGAACAATTAGATGTGCATAAGCAGAAAAAAAACAAAAATTCTAAAACCTTGGCCTAAACCTCAAACCTTAAACAAAACTTAACTCAGGGACTTTTGAATGTAAAATATAAAACTGTCAAACTGGCCAGACGCAGTGGCTCATGCCTGTAATCCCAGCACTTTGGGAGGCTGAGGCAGGAGGATCATTTGACGTCAGGAGTTCAAGACCATCCTGGTTAACATGGTGAAACCCCGTCTCTATTAAAAATACAAAAATTAGCTGGGCGTGGTGGTGCACGCCTGCAATCCCAGCTACTCGGGAGGCTGAGGCAGGAGAATCACTTGAACCCGGGAGGCAGAGGTTGCAGGGAGCCAAGACTGTGCCACTGCACTCTAGCCTAGGTGACAGAGCAAGTCTCCATCTCAAAAAAAAAAAAAAGAAAATCGAACTATTAAAAAAAAAGAAAATATTTGCGTTTGGGATCTAGGGCTAGGCAAAGAGATCTTCACATAGTATGACCTGCAAATAAATGATAAATTGGACTTTATTAAAGTTAAAAATGTTAGTTCTGAGAAAAAGTCTATTAAGAGGATGAAAATACAAGTTATGTACTTGTAGAAAATATTTGCAACCCACACATCTAGCAAAGACTAGTATCAGACATATATAAAGAATTCTCAAAACTCAGCAGTAAAAAAATCAAACTTACCATTTAGAATATGGGCAAGGATCTGAACAAACATTTTACTGAAGAGGATCCAGAGATGGCAAAAAAGCACATGAAAATATGTTCAGCATCACTAACCACTGGGAAAATGTACATTTAAACCACAGTGAGATATCACTACATGAAAATAAAAAATAGTGATAACAGCAAATGCTGGTGAATGTGTGGAGAGACCAGCACACATACATTGCTGGTAGGAGAGTAAAGTAAGACAGCAACTCTAGAAATTTGACTTAATAATCATTTGACAATTTGAAAACTAAACATATAGCCATCATAAAAACCAGCCACTGCTTACTTAGGCTCGTAATTTAGAAAAATCAAAACTTGTGTTCACACAAAAACCCATTCACAAATGTTTTATCAGCTTTATTCATAATTAAAAGAAAAAAAAAAAACCTGGAAACAATCCAGATATTCCTCAGTGGGTAAAGGGTTAAACAAATCGGTACTCCTTAGGCCAGGCACAGCGGCTCACGCCTGTAATCCCAGCACTTTGGGAGGCCGAGGCAGGAGGATCACGAGGTCAGGAGATCAAGACCATCCTGGCCAACACAGCGAAACCCTGTTTCTACTGAAAATACAAAAAAGTAGCCAGGAATGGTGGCACATGCCTGTAGTCCCAGCTACTCGGGAGGCTGAGGCAGGAGAATCACCTGAACCCAGGAAATGGAGTTGCAGTGAACCAAGATTGTGCCACTGCACTCCAGCCTGGGTGACAGAGCAAAACTCCGTCTCAAAAAAAAAAAAAAAAAAAATCAGTATTTCCATGCCATGGAATACCACTTAGCAATAAAAAGGGGCAAACTGTGGATACATGAAACAACTCAAGTCAATCTTTACAGATTTATGCTGAGCAAAAAAAACCCAATCCCAAAACATGACATCCCACATGATTCCACTTATGTAACATACTGTAATAGCAAGATTATAGAAATAGAGACTGGAGGAGTGGTGGTCAGGCCTAAGAACAGGGTTGAGGGGCTCAAAAGGGAAGGATTTCTGCCTTGATCTGGCACCCCTCTTTCTCTGCACCACCCCCTTCTGCATCATGATGGGCATGGGACAGACAAGGGCTCCTCTCAATGGAACCAGACCTGTCTCTGGCCAAAGGGAATTTCCAAAGATGTGTCTCCAGAAGCAGAATAAGAGAGATTTGATTCGAGCACGTAAGTTTTTCAGTGAATTACTCTCTTTGAAAATGATGAGAGAGACAGTCTTTTTCAAATTTCCAGGTCTGTCCCGGGATGTAGATTGGGTTTCATAGGCCACGTCCACCAGGAAATTTCGAAAGTCAGGTTATTAAAAGGCTGCGAGGGTGGGAACTCGCAGTGCCGGCTGGACTGCAGCCCCAGACACCGAGATGAGCGCCGAGTCTTTTTTGACAGGAATCGCAGCCTCTCGTGCAGATTCATTTATGGAAAGGAGATAATGGGAATGGGAAAGAAACACTGCTCTAATTTCATAACATGCAGCTTTCAACATGTTTAAATTCCAGGACCACCTTTGCAGTTGAGCGTCTCTGGAAATACGCTACTCCCTGAAAGGACATATGCTCAGCCATGCTGAGGCGGGGTGGACGTGCCCACCCCGGATGCACGTTCGGAACACGGGCCCTAGAACTGCAGGTTGGGCGCTGCAAGGGCCTCAGGGTCAACAGTTACCCAGTGAGCCACCTGGTGGGGATCATAGGCCATCAGTGCTCAGTGTCACTCAGCCAAGGCGTGCATTCTGTGGATCTCTTTGGACACTTACACTCTCCCAATTCTGTCCTCTCTGGGGTGGGGTGGCAGCTCCCGTTCCAGGGGATGCCGTCCGCATCCCCACCTGCTGTAGGGCTCAGACTTTGGTAGGCCCTGAAGGAGGTAGTAAGGAGGAAGCAGACCTGGGCTATGATCTCACAGAGCTGGCATCTGCGGTGACAGAGAAAATCCTACATAAAGTTGTATGTCCTGGAGTAGGACCAGGTGCTGGAATGGACTCCAGACTGCAGGTGCTCTGGGACACCAGCCTCACGGGAACTTGCAGTGCTGCCTGCACAGGAAGGGGGGCAGGTCAGCATCACCCCAGCCACTGACGCTTTGTGGTAGGACTGAATCCTGGCACCATTGCTTAACAGCTGGTGATGCTGAGCTATACATCCCCTCTCTGCCTTGGTTTTCTCATCTGTAAAATGGGGATCATTCTACCTGCCTTCCTGGACTGGGTTAAGATTCAACATGACATTAAGCACATCTCACAGTACAATGAGTGGAAAAGCAGGAGAGAGTGAGGGAGAAGACCCACCGCCCTCACACCCACACCAGCTCCCTCCCAAGTCCTGAAATTCCCACATTAGCCTCAATCTTCAGGGGCCTTCTAGAGCCAGGGCCATTTTAATTTCCAGAATTGGTATCCCTTGGAAAGAGAATGAAATAAGCCGGACATTCCTAAATTTGATGAATTAGCCCCCAACTCCCCAGAAGTACTGTTGAAAGCTGGGGCCCTCAGAATGAGATGTGTGGGTTCGCTGGAGATCAGGAGAGACTGGGGAGCTGCACCCGGGCTGTGGACCGCAGGCCCAGACAGGCAGGCTCAGGAGGCCGTGAGGCTGGGCGGTCTTGCTCTGGGCAGTGCAGGGTGCATTTGTCTGCTCACCCCAACTCTCCAGCGGACATTTACTGAGAATGGGAGGCAGGACCATGGAAATGTCCATTCCCACGTGGCCCATGGACTTTGGGGGGAAAATCTTACCTGGATTTTTGTTGTTCTGCTGCCATTTCCTAGTTGTGTGATCGTTTTTTCTCAATCTCTGCTAGGCTCAATGTCTTCATCTTTAAAGTGGGAATAGCAGCTCTCATCTCCTCTCAGGCAGTGAAGGATTAGATGGTAAGCTCCCGACAGGCCCTGTTTCCTGTTGGACGAATAAGTAGAGGGAGCAAGGAACTGTTTGCCCCTGCTGGCCCCCAACCACCCCTGTCCTCCTTGTCATCCTCTCCATGGAATTCAGACTATCCCACTGGCCCCTGTACCCCCAGTCCAATCCTTCAAGTCCCTCTTCTACATGGCCACCAGATCTGATTGCAGCTCTCCTCCTCAGCTCACAACCCTTCAGTGGCTCCCTGGTACCATGAGGCTGGGGCCCAAGTGCCTTCCACTGACCCTCTCTGGGAGCTGGAACCTGCCACACTCCTGTGAACCCCAAATACCTGAGACAGGTCTCAGTCAAGTTAGAAAAGTTAGTTTGCCAAGGGTAAGGACGCACGCCTGTGACATGGCCTCAGGAGGTCCTGCCGACAGGTGCCCAACGTGGGCAGGGCTCAGCTCGGTTTTACACATTTTAGGGAGACATGAGACATCAATCAACGTGTGTAAGAGGAACACTGGTTCCATTGGAAAGGCGGAGGGGGCTTCCACCTTGTAGGTAGATAAGAGACAAGCAGCATTCTTTTGAGTTTCTGATTAGCCTTTCCAAAGAGACAATCCGACATGCATTTATCTCAGTGAGCAGAGCAATGACTTTGAATAGCATGGAGGCAGGTTTTCCCTAAGCAGTTCCCAGCTTGATTTTTCTCTTTAGCTAGTGATTTGGGGGTTCCAAGATCTATTCTCCTGCCACACTCCCCAGCCTCATCCCATATCCTCCTTGACTGGAACCTCCTATTGCCCCAACCCCATGCCTTGGGCACGTCCTGCTCCCCCTGGAGACAGGCACACACATGCAGACTCAGCACAGCTCAGGGCACCTCTGACCCCATCTCAGCTCTGTGTGGTCCTTCCCACTCTGAGCCCTTGCAGCAGCCAGGGAAACACCATCCTAACACTTACAGATTCTTATCATGAATGTGTCCTGCTGTGTCTCCTCCAACTCCAGGTGGTGATCAAGGCTCAAGTGTTATTTATGTATTTCCATAACCTCAGCCAGAGCAGAGCTGGAAGGGGTGGGGAAGCCAGGGGAGGGGCGAGAAGGGAAAGGGGAGGGAGGGAGAGAAAAATGGAGGGGGAGGGGAGAGAGGAAGAAACGGGGAGGAGGGGAGGGAAGGAGAGAGAGAGGCAGGAAGGGAGGAAGGAAGGGTGAACTGAGGGAGGGAAGTGAGGTGGAGAAGGAGAAAGGGGAAGGCAGAGAGGGAGAAAGGGTGGAGGAGGGAGGGAAGGGGAAGAGGTGGAAAAGGAGGGAGAAAGAAAGTTAGCTGGTTAATTGATTAGTTAGTTAGGTAGTTGGTCCCTAAAATAAGACCAATCAAATAGAACCATTCTACCCACAGGAGTAGACTCAAACTTGACTTTGTGAGCTTACTCGTGAGATAACCAATCAGACCCTGAGAAGCAAGTTCATCCTTGGGCCATGGTGCCAGGAACTGTGATGGCTTCCATCCATCTTGAGCCGCTTTTGTTACCCAAATTATAGTATGCAAGACAGAAGCAGCATAATGAGGTCCTGTGCATTCTCTGGGGAGATGGGGGAAGAGGAGTGGGAAAGGAACAAAGGCCTCCAACCTCCCAAGACGGAGGCTCCCTCGTTGTCTTGGGCAGCCCCAGCTTCCTTTGAAAGCAAGAAAGGAGCACAGTCCACTGCCATGGCAACCACCCTCAGCCGTCCTGGGACTGGGACGTGACTACTGACTGGGAGCTGTCCAGAGGCCAGGTTTCCCCAGTTTCCAGCCACACAGGAATAGAAGCCCTTTAAAAGGAATGACAGATGACACTTTTTAGGACCTGGCTCAGCCACCAGTGACGGCTGGGGAAAGCCTCTGTCCTCACCTACCATCTGCTCCATTACAGGGTGTAATTTGCCTGTCCTGAACACCAATTTGAAAGCAGCCTGTAACTATATAGCAACAAAGATGCTAACCAGGGCTTATGAGTAAGTAGACAAAAGGAGATGTCACCTCCTTGCTCACATTGAAGGTTGAACTTGTGGCTGTCAGCAGGAGGCAGCAGATGCAGGCATCTCTGGGACCTTCCCCAGGAGCCCAGGTTCACTCACAGTCACTGTGACCCACTGGGGGTCAGTCCTGGTATAGACAGTGAGCACTGACCTTAGTGAAAGGTTCCTTGGTACCACCACTGGGATAAGAATTTTTTATGCTATTCTCGTTCAGCCATTGCCACAACCCTACAAGGAAGGTATCTTAAGTGAGTGGTGTGCATTCACAAAGCTCAGGTGGCAGAGGTGGAAGTGGGTTCTGCCAAAATCCATCTTCCCTTCCTCTCTAACAACAGGACTGCAGCTTAGCAATGGCTGGAGAGCTACACCGCATACCTCAGCTCCCCCTGCACTCCGGTGGCCCTAATGGGAGCAGAAGAGATGGGGCCACTTGTTGACCAAAGCCTTTACAACTGGGGCTTGGCTGTTCCTTGATCTGGGTCCTCTTCCTACACACCTGAGCATGGGAGGAGCTAGGACCCAGTCTTGGTCACACAGACGAGAACAGTGCTGAAGGAGTGGGGAAGAAACAGTGTGGAAGGAACTCCGGTCTCTGAATGAGCATGGGGAGCTGAGCCACCTGCTGGTCTTAATCTCAGACCTTGGTGACAAACTTGGCCTCATGTGAGCCTCTGCCCATGGCTTGTACTGGTCACTTCGCTCAGTGTCCTGTCAGAACAACAGAGACCAGGTGTTTCAAACAGTAGGAATTTGATATGGAGAACCAGTTACGAAAGTGTTGGAAGCCTGGAGAATTAGAAAGGGGAAACTGAGGTTCTGTGGAGACTATGAACTGTGGGAAGCTGTCATCATCCCAGGAGCTGGAGAAGCAGAAAAGAAAATGGCATATCCCAGAGCCCAGGATCACTGCACCTCTGAGGCTATGGAGCACGTGCTGCTGCTGCTGCTGCTGTGACTGTGGGAACCATCACCACAAATCAGCAATCAACAAGAGGCCTTCCCTCCCATGGACCGTCTGAGCCAGAGTCCATGAGTGAGATGCTGCTGGAATCGGTCATCCTAGGGAGGAACCCAAGAGGCTGTTACAGCTGCAAGAGGCAGCAGAAGAGGCAGGAAGAGTGAAACCCCGTCTCTACTAAAAAAAATACAAAAAACTAGCCGGGCGTGGTGGCGGGCGCCTGTAGTCTCAGCTACTTGGGAGGCTGAGGCGGGAGAATGGCGTGAACCCGGGAGGCGGAGCTTGCAGTGAGCCGAGATCACGCCACTGCACTCCAGCCTGGGAGGCACAGCGAGACTCCGTCTCAAAAAAAAAAAAAAAAAAAAAAAGAAAAGAAAATGGTTTCTCTCTTCCTCCACCTTCTCCTGCTGGAGTTTCCCATTGGCTAGATTAAACTGGAAGGCAAGTGAGTTTGCAGGCTTCCTGCTCCCTATGACCCAGATGGATCTGGGAGCAGAGACAAGGGAGCAGCACCCTGGGCTAGTGAGGGGTCTGGTACTGGGGCTGGCAGATGTCTCCACTTCTGACTGACTAACAGTGGCTTTCCACGATGCTGCACTAAGAGGCTAGAGGAGGGGAGAACAATCAAGGGTCCCTGTCTCCAGTCCACCGGGGCAGAGACGAGGCCAGAACTGGGAGGGCAGCAGGGGGACTGGTAAGAGGGATGCTCTCAGGCAAAGTCAGGCCCAGGATCTATAGGAAAGGGGCCTGAAGCGGTTTGCACCATCTGGAGGTGAGGGTGGACGGTGGCCGTGCATGCACTTTGAATTGGTCATCTGCATTCCAGGGCATGGACCACTCTCCCAAGATGAAAACAAAAACCTGATAGAGGATCACATGGTACCAAATAAAAGTGTTTATTTTAACAGGAGCAGTGATCTAAGCCAGCATGCACCCAACAGCTCCTCAATGCCAAGCACCACACTGCACCCTGCAAATACACTTTCCTCACGTGGACCTCATGACGGTCCCATTGAAGAGACATTTTCACTCCATTTTACATTGAGAACGTTGACGTTTGGGTTATGTAAACTCACTCAAGAATTAAGTGGCAGAGGTGAAAATGTCACCTCAATGTGACTCCAAGCTTATTGACTTTGCCTCAGAACATCCCTCTCACCAATCCCCCTGCTGCCTTCCCGGTTCTGGCCTCGTCTCTGCCCTGGTGGACTGGAGACACACACCCTTGATTGTCCTCCCCTCCTCTAGCTACATGACTCCCTAGGCGAGGCCTTCACTCGGTCTGGATGATTCTTCTGAAACCAGATCTGGCCACGTCACTCCCAATGGAACACAGATGCAAATGCCACCATCTGACATTGTCCCCAGCCTCTGGGCTCACCCCAGAGATTCTCAGTCAGCAGGTCTTGGAGGAACCTGTCAATCTGCCTTGAGAGAGTCTCTGGGGACTCCAACTCTCTGCCCACTCTAGGAAGCCCAAGCCTTGGGTCCAGGTGGCATCAGAAGGTCCCTGGTCCAGCCTCTGCCTGCCCATACAGCCTCACCACTCAACCCTTCAGCCTAGACTATCAGTGTCTTAGCCTACTCAGGCTGCTGTAAGAATGTCACAGACTGAGTGGCTCAGACCACAGACGTTTGTTTTTCATGTCTCACAGCTCGAGAGGCTGCAAGCTCGCGACCAAGGCATCAGCGGTGTTGGTTCCTGCAGAAGCCTCTCCCCAGCTTGTAGACAGCCTTCTAGCTGAGTCCTCACATCACCCTTCCCTGGTGCCCCTGTCTCTCCTTACAAGGACACAGGTCAGGTTGGAGTAGGACCCCATGCCAGGACCTCATTGGCTTTCATCATCCCCTTAAAGCCCCTATCATCTTCAAATAAGGGCCTTAAGAAAGAAATTTGGGGTGGAAACAATTCCATTCCTAACAGTTGGGTAGAGGCCATGAGCATGAATCTGGACCTGAGATAAGCCTGTTTTTGAAGTCCCATCTTTGCCATTCGCTTGCTGTGTGTCCTCGGCAAACCTCCATCTGTTTCTGAGTCTCATCTGAGAAGTGGGAGCAAGGTATCCTCAAACACAGGAAAGTAAAAGATTTAAAGGCGGCAGCGTATGGAAAGCCCCAGGCACTCAGTGGGCCTTGTGTAATGGAAGATTGTCACGAGCCACATCTCCACCCTCACAAATGCCCTAATTCCGCACCAGTCTCTCTCCCCTTACCCTCTCTGAGTCTGTCTTTGTCCAGCACTTGACATTTCCCCAAAGATGCACAAGACCTTCAGCAATTCTGTGCATGAGGTAGGCAGGCCCTCCTGGCCCTGTATGCAGATGAAAGAGAGCAATTGTCTGGCCCAGAGCCACCTGTAGATGTGGATGTTCAAGCAGGGAGAGGCCTCACATCTCCTGACTCCATGCCCCGTGCTGTTTCATTCACTAGGGGATTTTCAAGTCCCACAGCGACTCAGTGTAAGTCTTTAAAAACCAAAGGCTCTTTGATAGAACCTGTAATACAGAAAGAGGGAGAAAGAGAAAAGAGACATTCCCTCTTTCCAGAAAGTCTTGGACAGCAGGTATCGGTGTGAAAAGTCAGCACATCAGAGCCATCTACACTGGCAAGGAGCGGAGCAGCATTGAGTCTCCATCGCCAGGAGGCATCTGGATCCTGGGTCACGGGGAACTCTGTGTGATGACGTTGCTGCATTTGTTCACCAGGAAAGTAAAAGAAACATCCTTGATGCTGGAAACCTCTGGGACCAGCTCCCAGAGCAAAGAAATCTGGCCAACCTGTCCATCATTTGGCAGAAGCCCAGGTCTCTGGGCTGGTCCTGACTCTGACATGGAGGCTGCTTTACATACAGCCTCACTTCCTGGTCAGCAGAAGCAACCTGTAGTCCATGGCCAGCTGTGCAGGTGACCTGTCCACTCGACTACACGTGGGAGATCCCTTGCCTGCTCACGGCAGGGGAGAACAGGGCCATGGCATCAGGGATCCCTGCACTGGTGTCTCTGGGTCACAGAGAAACTGACTGGCTCAGAGCCCAAACTCGCCACCCACAGCCTTGCATCCTATCGAAGATTTGCAAGGAAATGTGGATGGACATGCAAGGATGGTTCTGAGGGGCCATGGGACGTGCTGACTTTTCATACCTATACCTGCTGTCCAAGACTTTCTGGAAAGAGAGAATATCTCTTTTCTGTCTCTCCCTCTTCCTGTATTACGGGTTCTATCAAGGAATCCTTTGGTTTTTAAAGACTTAAACTGAGTCACTGCTGGACTTGAAAACCCCCTAGTGGACAGACCAGCATGGGGCATAGAGTCAGTAGACACAAAGCCTCTCCCTGCTTGAACATCCAAGGCACAGACCTGGAGGAAGGGGCAGAGAGCAGAGGATAAGCCACGGCCAGATCTGTTGCCCCCACACTGGCTGTCAGTGCTTGACTGTCGGGCGGAATCCTGCTGTCTCTCACAGGATCTGTTGGAGAGGGCATCCCAGCACACCCCTCGGCAGCCCTTGCTGGGTGAGACCAGCCCTGATGAGCACTCCAGACGCCTCATGCAGTACTCCACACACGCTGCTGGAGGAAGAGCTATCCCCCACTCATTTTCTAGGAGGAAAATGAGGCCCCAGAATCTCAGTGACTTGCCCCAGGTCCCTTGCTAGGACAAGCAGAGCAGGTGTTCAGGCCACTGTTCATGTCACCATGAAATAAACATACAGAGAGATGAATCTCCAAGAAGACAGTTTGTTTGGGAATAATATACAAGAATTGCCACTTGGGACACACAAACTGGGGTGGCCCCTAGGTGTGTTCAAAGAACAAAGTGAAAGCGTGGGCTTCCGTTGCGAAGAGAGGAAGGTTCTGTACAGCTGTTCTGAAAGTTCGTTCCTTGGTGGCGGTGGTGTCCTGCAGGAGCTGGCGACTCCTGAGGGAGGATGGCAGCAGTTACCAGTCAAACTTGAAAGCTTAGGGTCGTATCAGGCCCGTGCATGCGTGCGGTTTTGCACTGGCCTTGCAAGACAGTTCCTGGAATAGGCGTTTGTGACTTGGGTGTTTTTCCCTCTGTCTTAGTTAGATGTGATAAAAATGTCGCCGTTTTGTATAATCAATTTTCACGTCCCAAAGGCCATGCAGGGGCTGAGATGTGGGACTAAAGGACAAAGAAACCTCCTGCCCTGAGGCCCTATTGTCCTAGTTCCCAGTAATGGAGCCACATTCCAGGGTCCCTGCTGTGAGCTGCCGGGCTGGTTTATGAATTATTCATCATCCCACGCTTCACAACCAGTCTGTGGATTGTGTTTGTTATTTACCGAATTGTGTGTAGAGCTTAGCGATATGGTGCTTTGAACTGGCCCAAACCCACCACCAGGGCAAGGCTGCTTTTTGCTCAGCCCCCACCAGGGCCCTGGCTTCACTTCCTGTAACACTGTCATTCATCTGTGTTTGCTCAAAACCTGGAAATGCCCATCTCAGCTGTGGGTTTTAAAGGCATGAAAACCAAAATTCTATTATAACTTTGTGGGAAATGAAGCTGCATTTGTTTCCTACGACAAATGTAACAAATCACCATGAATTCCGTGGCTTTAACCAGCCCACATACATTCTCTCACAGTGCAGGAGAAGTCCAAAACAGCCTTCCCTGGGCTAAAAGGAAGGCATCAGCTGGGTCACATTTCTTCCTGGAGGCTCTGGGGGAGAATCTGTTTCCTGCCCTTCCGGCTTCCAGAGGCCACCCACGTTTCTCAGACCAGGGGCCCTTCCCCTTTCAAGGCAGCAATGGCTGGTGGAGCCTCTCTCGCATTGCAACACCCAGCTCTCAGCTCTTGCCTCTCTCTCCACCTGCAAGGAGGCTTGTGATTATACACAGGGCCCCCCGAGATAACCTACGTAAGCTCCTTACCTTGAGGTCAGCTGATGAGTAGGCTTCATTCTATCTGCAACCTTCACTTTCCCTTGCCGGGCAACCAGCGCATTCTCAGAGACTAGGATGCGGACATCTTTGAGGCCATTATTTAGCCTGGCATAGAAATGGAAAAGAAAGTTCGGTCTGGGAAGGCTTCCAGGGGCCGTTTCCGTCATCCTGCAAAACCCAAAACCCCCTCCCCAGTATTCCCAGTGAATGCTCCTCCAGCCACAGCTTGAACATATGTGGGCGGCATCCTCACTACCAGAGGCCACCTCTCCAGCCCTTTGGGTGCTCCTGAGCCACTAGATCCGAGCTCTGCACTTTGGAAGGATACAAGGTACAATTGCAAAGTGCACCTGATCCCCGATCCCAACGTCAGCACTTGGTGTGTTTGAAGAGCTGCTATGCCCCCTACTTCTCTCTGCAGCTGTGGAGGCCAGCATGTCCACCCCAACCACCTTCCACCATTCCAGGCACCACTCACCAGCACAACTCCCACGGGCAATGTCTCTTTTTAACCGTGGCAACCAGAATATGACAGATGTTGCTGAGCTCCTATATGTGCCTAAATGGAGCCCGAGTGTCAAGTAATATCCATGTGAGCCTATGAGGTTGACAAGGTCATCCCTTCTGTAGAGGGGGAGACTGGGACTCATACAACGTCACTCACCCACGACCACACAGCCAAGTGACTCAGCAGAGGCTGCGTCTAGATCAGAGCCTGTGTCTATCTCCCTGCCTCGGTGCTCCCATCTCTAGTCTAGCCCATGCTTACTGCTAAGAAGGACACTGAACCAAGAGGCAGGAATGTAGGGGTTTTTTGTTTTGTTTTGTTTTGTTTGTTTGAGATGGAGTCTCACTCTGTCACCCAAGCTAGAGTGCAGTGACACGATCTCAGCTCACTGCAACCTCCGCCTCCTGTTTCAAGTGATTCTCCTGCCTCAGCCTCTTGAGTAGCTGGGACTACATGTGCACACCACCATGCCTGGGTAATTTTTGTATTTTTAGTAGAGATGGGGTTTCACCATGTTGGCCAGGCTGGTCTCGATCTCCTGACCACATGATCTACCTGCCTTGGCCTCCCAAAGTGCTGGGATTACAGGCGTGAGCCACCACACACAGCCAGATGTAGGTTTTATTCCCAGTGAACCCATTTGTAATTGTGTGACTTGAACTTCAAATTTCCCTATTGTGAATGGGACTACCAGCAACTCCTCAAGACTGTGCGAGGATCGGACAGACCAGCCACGACAGAGCTTGGGAGCTTGTAAGGGGCCCTGGGAAGAGGACTGGTTCTCCTGGCTTCTGTCGTGACACATGCTGTGCTCCATTTACATTAATTCCCTGGCAGCACCCTCTTGCTCCTGGCCTCTTCTGGGCTGGTTGTCCCTGAAAACTCTCATGCTGTCAGAGCGTGCACCTGGAGGCCCAGAGGAACACTCGATTGCAGTGGGGAGGCGTCAGGGTCTGGAGATCCTGTCCAACCAAGTGTCGACACTCCTGGCCCTTTAGTGTCCTATTTCCATACAGCAGAGCTGACGTGTGCCCAGCACTGAAGAGGCACTGGCACCCCTGGAGGCCAGTCCTTCCTCTAAGAGGGGAGACGGGCATGTGGACAGTCTGTTCCAACAGAGTGTTGATGCAGGGGGTAAGGACATGAGGAGGGGCCCAGTGCCACCCAGAGGAGAGTGGTGGAGTGGAGCCTGAGAGGATGGAGGGAGTTGGCCTCACCAAGGAGAGCAGCAGCAGGTCAGCATCCCAGCCAGGACAAACGGCCTGGAGATGAGCTCCGTTCAGGGTGTCTTTGAGACCCAGAGAACAGGCAAAGGAAAAGGTGGGATGTGAGGCTCAGGAAAGAGATCTGCCTTGGATGACGGGGCTCTTCTGGGCTAACGTTTATTCCCCCAAGTGTGGATTTGCATATGCAAATCTTAGAAAATACAGAACACCACAAAACCTCTGTCTCTGTAATAAGCCCACTTTAAATCTGTCTCAAAACAGGATTTTCTTTTGTCCCAAACCAAGTAAAATAACTTGACTCAGATTTTAGTCCACATTCCAATGTCCTCCTTCTCTGTAGAAGTTTTAGAAAGCTCTCCACATGGCCGAGCACAGGGTGGTTCACGCCTGTAATCCCAGCACTTTGGGAGGCCAAGGCGGGTAGATCATGAGGTCAGGAGATTGAGACCATCCTGGCCAACATGGTGAAACCCCGTCTCTCCTGAAAATATAAAAATTAGCCGGGCCTGGTGGCGGGTGCCTGTAGTCCCAGCTACTCAGGAGGCTGAGGCAGAAGAATCACTTGAACCTGAGAGGCAGAGGTTGCAGTGAGCCGAGATCGCACCACTGCACTCCAGCCTGGTGACAGAGCAAGACTCCATCTAAAAAGAAAGAAAGAAGAAAGAAAGGAAGAAAGGAAAGAAAGAAAGAAGGAAGGAAGGAAGGGAGGGAGGGAGGGAGAAAGAGAGAAAGAAAGCGCTCCACTTTCAGGCCTGAGCCCGGGGTTGGCCGCTGCTGCCCTTGCTGTTGCTTTACTTCTCCCCTGGCACTTTCTGCTCTGAATTACTAGGACCCAAAGTGGGAGGCGGGGCTGTGACCAATCCAGGGCAGGGAGGGGCTAGGCAGGGAGGGGGGAATGCCACGGGCCTGGCATGTCCTTCTCAACTCACCATGGCAGGCAGGGCCTCATCAAAGCCTTTCGAGTGAGAGTATTGAAAGACTTTGTAAAGTGCTAACACACACTGACACGAGAAGAGTGTTTTAATCACCGCTCCTGCCCCCACTCCAAGGAACAAGAACTGGATTCCTGTCCACCACTGCGAAGAACCCCAGAGTGACTGTCTTTGGAGGCCGAGGAGGTGAGGAGGCAACTGCCGTGGAGGGACGATTCACCCGGATGTCTACAAACTAGCAACACGCAACTGGAAATCAAAATATACATTTTCTAAAATACAGTTTACCATAGCATTAAAAGAAATCAAACACTTAGGAGTAGATCTCACAAAATGTGTGCCTAATTTGTATGCTAAAAGTTGCCAAGCATCGATGAGAGAAATGGTAAAAGGTCTAAATGTGTGGAGAAGTATTGAACGCATGGGTGGGAAGGCTTGACGTTGTTGAGATGGCAGTTCTTCCCAAAATGATCTATAAATTCAGCGCAAACCCATTAAGAATTTCTATAGACTTTCGAGAAGTAAATTAACAGGTGGGTTCTAAAACTTAAATTGAAAAGCAAAAAATGTCAGAATAGCCAAAATAATTTGGAAGAAAAAAAAAGAAGAAAGTGGGAGGAATCTCACACCAGACCTCAATAGTAAATAAAAAGCTACAGTAATCAAAATAGTGTGGTATTAGAATAAGGAGAGACATAGAGATTGATAGAATATAATTGAATTGAGAGCTCAGGGATAGACTCACACATATACGATCAATTAATTTTCAACAACCTGCCAAGCAATTCAACAGGAAATTTCACTCTTTCCAACAAAGAGTCAGAAACATCAGGACATCCTTATTTTAAAATGCACCACAACCCTTACCCTGTACCTTGTCCCAAAAACAAAAAACAAAAAAACTAACTGAAATACAGCATAAGCCTAAATGTAAAACCAAAGCCTAAACCTCATAAAAGACAGGAGAAAAACATGTGTGCTTGGATTAGGCAAACATGTTTTCAATAGGACAAAAAAAGCACAAAACTACAAATAAAAAAAATTGATAAACTGGACTTCCTCAAAATCAAAACCTCCTGTTTTTTGAAAAACACTGTTTTAAGAAATGGAAAGTCAAGCCACAGACTTGGAAAAACACATTTTCTTTTTTTTGAGATAGGATCTCACTCTGTCGCCCAGACCGGAGCGCAGTGCAGCGGCACGACCTCGGCTTACCACAACCTTCGCCTCCAGGGTTCAAGCCATTCTCCTGCCTCAACCTCCCAAGTAGCTGGGATTACCAGCGCCTGCCGCGATGCCCAGCTAATTTTTGTATTTTTAGTAGAGATGGGGTTTCACCATGTTGGTCAGGCTGGTCACAAACTCCTGACCTCAGGTGATCCACCCGCCTCAGCCTCCCAAAGTTCTGGGATTACAGGGTGAACCACTGCGCCCAGCTGGAAAAAAAAAAAAAAGCATTTTCAAAACATCTCTCTGATAAAGGACCTTCCCGGAATATCAAAAGAACATTTATAACTTTATAAAAAGAAGACAAACAATTCAATATGGAAAATAGACAAAAGATTTTGGACACTTCACCAAAAACTATATGTGGATGGTAAATGCATACAAATGCACAATACTATTAGTCATTAAGGAAAGAAAATTAAAATTATAATGAAGTATTGCTAAAATTACACACCCCCAGAACTGCTAAAACTACAATGACCACACCAAATACTGGCAAGAATGCGGAGCAACTGAAACTCTCATCCATTGCTGGTGGGAGTGCAAAATGGTGCATCCGCTTTAGAAAAGAGTTTAGCAGCTACTTATAAAGTATAGCACACACTTACCATGCAACTCAGCAATGCCTCTCCTGTGGATTTACTCAAAAGAAAAAAGCATATGTTCACATGAATATCAGCTTACTCATAACAGCCAAAAAGTGAGAACAACTCAAATGTCCATCAAATGATAAAACCAAAAATATGTGTGGTATAGGCAAACAATGGAATTCTACTCAGCAATATAAAGGAATGAACTAGGAATACATGCAATGACGCGGATGAATCTCATAGACGTTATTGTAAATCAAATGAAACAAACACAAAATAATATATAAGTTTACACTTATATGACACTCTGGAAAAGGCCAAATTCAGGGAAAAAAATCAGACCAATGATTGCCAGGGGTAGGGTGGAAACAGGGCATTGACTGCAAAAGCATGAGGAGGAAACTTTTTGGGTGATGTAAATGTTCTAGATCTTGCGTGCGGTCGTGTTTACCCGGCTGTTGATATTTGTCAAAACTCAGTGACGTGAGCACGCTTCAGGGATAAATTTTACTGTTTGCAAATTGTACATCAATAACTGACTTCTAAAAATAAGCAAGTCGAAGCAGGAGACACGTGGTATGTTACCATTTGTATAAAATAATAATAAAAATAGCTACAAATTTAATGAGCCAAACATCCAGCCAAAGAGGTTAGAAAAATAGCAAAAATATACTCTAAGAGGAAGAAAGGAAATAAGAGCAGTAAGTGCAGAAATTGATGCAATAGAAAATCAACATAAAACAGAACACACAATTTTTTAAAAGCCAAAAGTCGTTTCTTAGAAAGAAGAAATGAAATAGCCAAATTTCCGGCAAGCATAATCAAGCATTTAAAAAGAGGAGGATTGATAATGGAGCGGAACAGCAGATACAGCAGAAATTTTCAAAATAGTAAAGCAAATGAACAATGTACACATTCCCAGAAAAATAAAGCTAATTAAATAGACACCGAAAGAGAAACCCTGGATCACTAAAAAAGAAAATGAAAACATCGGTTTAAAATCTTTTCATGGAGAAAAACAGCAGTCCCAGATGGTCTGAAAGAGTCCCTAACACAAAACTCCCAGTTTCATCCAAATTGATCTAAGGATTCCACATCATTTCAATCCCAACAATGATGTCTGTGGGACTCCACAG